CAGATCTCCACCCAACTAGACGTCAACCTCTCCACCATGGGCATGAGTTCCCCTGTAGCCCAGAAAGAAAAAGAACGAGAAACAAATAAGAAAGGAAAGAAAAAACAGAAGAATAAGAACAAGAAGAACAAACAATGAAGAATAAACAATGAAGAATAAAAAATGAAGAAAAAACAATGAAGAAAAACCAATGAAGAATAAAAAATGAAGAAAAAAGAAGAATACACACACACACACACACACACACACACCTGGCTCCTCTCCCGGAAACCAAGGCCGGCGGCCAAGAAGCAAAAGCTGGAGGATGCCCCGAGCTCCGCCGCCACCGATGCGGCGGCGGCCGCCGAAGCGGAAGCGGGCGCGGGCGAGGTGGAGCAGGAGGGCGGTGGGCTGCCGGTGATCCTGGCGAGGTACCCAGCCAGGTGCCCGCTCCTTCACCTTTGGTTTTTGGTTAGGACCTGGAAAGCACGACCATGTGACTAGTCAAGGCACCCGAGCGCTCCAAGCTTCAAGCGCTCCAAGCTTTTGGTCGAGTACTTCCCTGGTTCTTGCCGTTGCTGGTTTTGGGACTCCATGGCAGAAGCAGCGATGGCTGAGTCTTCGCCATTCGAGCTGGTTTGTGGAGGGGTCTGAGGATACCTCTTTTTTTGGGGGGTGGGTTGGGGTGTCCATGCGTCCAAAACGCAGCCAGAACATGAGGAAGGATTGAATCCAGGAAGGTTCCTCACTTGGATTCCTGGCTTCCAGTTGTTGGATTCGCCGGGAAGCCGGCGGGTGCCCTTAGAGACACTCGCGAAGTTCAATCCACGAAAAAGTTGCGCGAGGCCGTGTAACTGGCTCCATGGGTTCTTCGGGTATGCTTGGGGAACCGCAAGGACCAGGCCCACCTCTTCGAACTTGGGCCAACGGTAGATGATTTTACGACCATGTCCACTAAATGCATGTGGGGAGCTTCACAAGGCCTAGGGACTTCAGGGTCTAACTTTGGGAATCAGCGGGCCTTTCGGTGGTTGGCAACTTGTGCTTTCCGGAAAGCCGCGATTCCGTGGCTTTCCCCAGACTCACCTTACGTGTTCGCCACTTTGCGATTTAGATGCACTTCACAGCAGCAACGAGTTTCGCTCATCGGAATTCTGAGCTTCGAACACACGGGAACCCGATCGCTGCAAAGAACGTAATCCAGCCGATCTCATCGATTTCGGGACACTTGGAAGCAATTTGTGTGGCTCAAAGATTAAACACGAGGGGTTACACAGGTTCTGGTCCATGTTTCCACTTACCAGGGCAACCCATTTTGGTACCGGTTTTTTGAGCCGCAGCCATTTAATTGGACCCCCCTTTAGACCGGGTGTCTGAAGATCTGGCGTTTGAGCTGCTCAGGAGCTGCCTGTGGCCGTGGAGGAGACGGTGGCGGAGGAGGCGGCGGAGGAAGTGCCGGTGGCAATGGAGGAAGGCCGGACTGGGCGGTCGATTTGTTGGTGTGCTAGATCCCCCAGCTAGGTGCCCGACTTCTCGGGAGAGTTCCCCTACTAAAATTGACTGCAGAAAACGGGTGCCCTTATTCTAATCTCTCAACTGCTTAGTATGCTGTTTGTGGGTGTTGGTGGCTGTTTTGTTTTTGGGGAGGGGAAGTTGGGGGGTTTGGCAAGGTTTGGGGGGTTTTGTGGGGCTTCAGGGGGGTTGGAGTAGTTTTGGTGGAGGTTTGGGTTTGGGGTTTGGGGTTTGGGGTTTGGGGTTTGCGGTTTGGAGTTTGGGGTTTGGGGTTTGGGGTTTGGGGTTTGGGGTTTGGGGTTTGGGGTTTGGGGTTTGGGGTTTGGGGCCGGTTTGGTGGGAGAAGCTTCGTTTCATGGCAGCTTCATAGTTTCCTCCATTATTGGTGGTTTGGATTGGCGGTTCGGAGGTGTAGAGCTTATCCCCAAACCCCAAACCGCCAATGAATGTTGCCCCCGGATTTTGGTAGAACCTCTCCTACTTCATAGGGTTGTTCTTCCATCCCAAAGTGGTCTGAATCCAACCACCAGGAATTGGACACCTCCCTATGAGTCAACCAAGGGTGGTTTCTTCCAAGGGAGAGCACGACATTACGAATGGATGAGACGGTGCAACCAAGACAGGGAATCCAAGCACTACAAGGGAACACTTTCCTACGAATGGATCCAGACGCCTCTGTTTACTCCCGGGTTTCCTCACCAAAGGCGGTGGCGGTGTCCTCACCGAGAAGCCCCCGGAAGGCGGGGGGTCATGCTGCTGAATGGCTGCGTCGGGGGGGAGGGAAAAGGGGGGTGGGGGGGCGTTTGAAACGGGGGCACCTGTTTTGGGGGCACCCCGTTTTGGGGTGGTTAAGCGGGGAACCAAGGGAAAGCCGGCATTTGGGGGAGGGGGGTCGCTCTATCTCGAAAAAAATGGCTATGAATATTCATCGGGAACCACCTCAAAAGTGGGTGGTTCACATGAATCCCCACCCAAATGATGTCCAGGATTAAAACTAATACCCATATTTGCTCACTTGTAGGAGAGTTTTGAGATTTAAGAATTTAAGCTTGTGGTTCTGCTTGGAGAAGAGAATAGCATCCAGTTTCTTGGACATCGCAGTTAAGAGTTGGTGTCCTGTCAGGCTACCCCTTTCTTGGGGGAGGGCGAATCCCCTACTAAAATACTACAGAAAGAAGTTGGTACCCTAGCCTCTCAAATCTGGAGGACCTAGTGGTTCTGAACGAGCTGTCGCTTGAGATTTCTGTCGCTCGGGAGTGTCACTGGCAGTTCTCTGTGGATGGCCTCGGCTCTCAAGAAAAACTGCTCGGGGGGGGGTCTTCCCTTGGAGCGTGGCCCGGTTCCACTCCAAGAACCACCTCCCATAGCTTGCGCAAAAGCAACCGGAACAAGTAGATCCGTTCGCTGGAACCAGAAGCAAGTGCACAACTTGTAAGCTTTTGGCGAATGGCGAACGTTTCCCTGCTAGCTAGAACGCTGTGAAGCACCCGTTCTTGTTGGAGGGGGGGGGTGAGCAAAATCAGCCCAGGTCTTGCATCAACAAAAAGTTGAACTTGCACACTTGGCTAGCCCCATTCATTTCACACAACTCTCCAACCGTTGCTATGTCGGCAAGACTGTGCTTCTTTGCTATCCCCCCCCAAGGGGAAAAAAACAAGAGAAAAAAGGAAACCATAGAAACCAAAGAGCTGAGTTTTTTGCTATCCCACCCCCTCCAACAAAAGAAAACCAACAAAGGCCATAAGCCAAAGAACTGAAAACATATAGAAGCCTCCCACGGTCACCACGAGTCGAAAACGCCGTCGTCCATGGCCTTCACCGCAGGCGCGTGAGGCAGTCTTTGGGCGCCGAGCTGTGAGCTCGCCGAGTGCCCCGGCTATGTGACCGCAGAAAACCCCGGAGCAAGACGTACGCTAGGTATAAGTGGAATCGCTGGGGGGAGGGAGGGCTGGAATCGCTGGAGGGTGCGGCTCGTTTTTTAGAAGGAAAACCAGATCAATCCCTTTTCGTGGTGCTTTTGACACAAACCCCTGTTCGGTGTGGATGTCCCAAACATCCCTGGGGCCAGCGATTGAGGCGAAGACTTCTGCCGGACTTTTGGTTTGGTTTTGGCTTCCTGATAACCCAGAAATGGACATTCACGTAGCCAGCTCAGCTTAACATATAATTATTTGGGCCTTTCAGTCGCATTTGCTTGGCTTTAAAAAAAGAGGCGCTTCACCCCGTGACAGATCTGGGATCCGTTTTTCCCTTGTGATACCCTTACAGGATCTCTTTCTGAGAGCCAGTCATCAGACGGACCTCCCACACGTCCATGAGTTTGGATAACCCCTCTAAAATGCTCTGATGTTCACCAAAGATCATCAAGAAGTCACAGCATACTCGCTAAGGACGACTCAAAAAAGGAGCCCTGAGTCCGAGTGGACACAAAAGGGGGTCCTGGTTTGCAGCTGCGTGAGCACGGGTGGAAGCAGCTCCGATCTGGCACCTTTCGCAAGGAGCCCGGCTGGTTGGGCGTGCAAGTGGCTGATCTTTGGGAAGCGCCTTATCTTTTTGGAAACTACTTGATTATCCAGTGCTCTTTTGGAAATTCAGAATTTTGATGCTGCAACAATACATGTGTTGCTCGTTTTACCCGCCAAGCTCCTTGTGTTCTGCCGCACGCCGCTGACGCACGGCCCGGAGTTCCGAGAGTCGCCCTTGGAAGTCTGGTTGCCATTCCCATGCCGAAACCAAACGCATGGATCGAGAACCGCAAAGGAGCCGAAAGTGGAAGCCGAAGTGCAACAGTGCAACCCCTGTGGTACTTGTGAAAATCTGGGCTCCTGCTGCGTAAGTTAATGAGGCCCCGGAGGCACCGAATGAGGAGACTTCTTGTTCCCATGACTTCGCTGTCTGCTTCGGAGATTTCTGGAACAACTGGTGAGCTGTTGATCGTATCATTCGCAGTGCTGCCTTCCGGGAAGTTGGTCAGTCCCTTGACCCCATGTTGACTTGCTGTGGAGTTGTGTTGCGAGTCTTGGATATCTTGCTTGTTGGTTCGTGCGGCAGGGACACATGTAGGCGTCTTGCTTTGAGCTACCTCCTTTGCGCAAAAGGTACACTTCGAGATTCGGCTGTGACAGCTCCAATTGTTCATCAGGGTGGCGGTGGACACAAATTTGCGCATCCCGTGGACGTTCATTTCAAGGATGCCGGTCAATGGCTATGAATCAGCAAAAAGGCGCCAGCGCGCGGAGCTTGCTGTTTTGCTGCGCCAGCGGGCGGGGCCAAGGGCCAATGGTCCTGAAACTTGCCGCTTTGCAAGAATCACACATTGCAGCTTGGCCATGTCAACAGGAATGTCCTTCCTCAAACATTTGGGCTCTCGCCTTCCTTTCGTCGGTCCAAGCGGCTCGGTACCTGCGATTCGGTATCAGAACATGGAATTCGTCGCGAATTCCTCTCCGCTTCGCTCGAGAGATTCTTGGGGGCTCCCTCGACCCAAGCGCCGGGGCCATGAGAGAAGTGTCGCAGCGGCACAGAATGAGGAAGCGACGAATTGTCCCAAGTTCCCCTTTTGGAGGGTGTCCGGAACCAAACCGGCACGAGAGATCCCGAAACTGGGAAAAATGAAGACCCACAGGCCTTGCGACCCCTAGCCGGTGCTTGCCTTTACGTACTTCGGCTGCCCACGAGGGCTTTGAGGGGTAGGTCATTTCAGCAAGGAGATCGTTTGCCTTTCCGTGGCAACTTGGCTCTAGGACTTGTGCCCCAAACGAATTGCCACATCACGCGGCAAGTGTTTCCGGCACTTTCCCAGCCTTCAAGCCATGCGCGAGGCGATTTGCATTCACATCGGCCAGGAGCTTTGGAGACTTGAGTAATCCTTTTGTACGTTGACCATTGTTTATTGTCACCCTTTGTGGCGCATGTGCAATCCCAGAAATAGTTGTATTTGTTTTGCGCATGTTTCGCAGGGTGGTTTGACACTGGCCTGCGCAAATTTACTTTAACGCCTCCGGCTCAGACCGCCGACATTACTGGCCTGTTTGTTAATAGATGTCGTACAGGTACAGTGCATGTGCACGCGAGAAACTCGATTTGAGAAGGGACCATTTATTTGACCTCATTGATTCATGTCTCTCTGCCGCAGGACAGCAATGGCAAGTTATCACGCGGCTGCGTGCAGTGAACAAAGATGGGTGTGGAGGGCGATTCGTTTTCTTACATGTGCTTCACACGGGAGTGCTACTGCTGCAATCAAGAGTTCTTTTGCTGGTGGCTCTTCTGTTTGCTTTCGTTTGCATCATTTCCTTCGGAAAGGCCAAGGGCCCCAGGACTTGAGGGACCTTTGGTTCGCCTCTGTTTGTTGAAGCTCGGCTTCGTTGTCCTTTGAGTTTGGCAGGAGTTAAGCGCTAGTCGAGCGCGCGGGTGTTTGTGATACTAGATATCTACGCTGGCCAACACTTGTGCGGTGGTATGTGGGACGATTTTCGCCGCAGATAGGGCACACGTAGGCTGCCCATCCTTGTTTTCATATGGAGTCGAACACACAGACTTGTGAGTGGACGGACAGACCTGGCCCAACAGCCAACACAAAACCACCCTATCCCCTGAACCCTAGACCCAAAACCCTAAAGGCCCAACAGCCTAAACAGCCCAAGTGCCCAACAGCCCAAACAGCCCAACTACCCAACAGCCCAACAGACTATTAAATGGCAGCTTGCTTTTCGTTATGCTTTGCGCAGCGGCTATTCTGGAGGACCAGTTGCCCTTGGTCAACAAACTTATCGCTGGTGGCTCGCGAAGGCTTGTTTGGACTGCATGTCGGACCTCCGCTTTTAATTATTTCAGGCGACCGTGTTTGTTTGAGTTTTCTTGCTGGCTGGCGATTCCTCACAAAACGGAAACAGGAAGCCGGACGATCTTCCAGCTCTGCTTCCAAGAGCTTGAAGCCGATGTTGCTGAATTCCAGCGGAGTAATGTTTGGGATGTCACCCTCCTCCACATCTCCAAGCCAAGCCCCCTTACACAGCCTCTTGACGCCGACGTGGGTAAGCAATGTGTCGCAGCTGCGACTGACACCAAACTCATCAAATCAACAACCAAGCACGCAGCAATGTTTTCCGGACTGACCATGCTGGATGTGAAAAACAGGTCGTGCCGCTGTTTGCGGGCCATGAACTAGTTACACTCGCAAAGTTTCATGATTGCTTGGTAGTACAAAAACGGTGTCCAAGAAGAGAATCTCTGGTTTGACAACTGGCTGCGACACATCAGAGTCCGGAGCGCACACGCTGCTTGCGCCGGCAACGCCAAGTTGCGCAGTTGCGTAGCAGCTTGCCGTGCACCTACGTGGATTCTCTACGGCGGGGTTTGGTTGCGCATTTGATGCCACGAAGGGTCAGCCAACCAACGAGCATGTTCGCCATAAGCTTGACCGTTCCACTCCTGGGGCTAACATTGCGACCAACAATGGAGCTGCACTTATCCCAGCTAGTTTCATTGTTGCAAATACTCTCGTGGCGTAGTAAGAAAACAGGGCGCGGGCGCTTGTTGTGCCCAATCATTTTGTGACTGCGTGCCTCAGGACTGCCCCGAGCTTGCGGTCGAACAAGCAGCGCTGAAATTGTTGCTCGTTCAAGACCCAAGGCGCCATCATGCTTCACCGTCAGAAGGCCTCCAGGCCATGACGTTCATTTTGGCGCAGCAATCCTGAAGGGTTGACGCGGGCTTGGAGCACGGGTAGCGCAGGTAAGGGAAGTGAGCGTGAGGCAAGGCGAAAGCGCAGCCAAGGACGCGAGGCAAGGCGGCGAGGCAGCTTGCCCGGGGCAGCTCGCCTTTGTCTAAGTTCACTCCGGGCGAAGGCAACGGCTTGGGGCAGCTGAAAGGCTTGAGGGCACGCGGCCCCTTTGTGGCGGAGAGCACCGTCCGCATCACTGATTGCGTTCCACGACAAGTCGGCGCGACGAACAAGCTTGGCCGGAGCAGTGCCAACCCTGGCAAGCAACATCTCAGTTGGAGGATCTGATAAACCATTGGACTGGCACTCACGACGTACGCCTGCTGGCAAAACCTGGCGCACGAGGGAGACGTGCCCGGGACCTGCAGACCGACGGCACTCTTGCGATGGCCTTAACTGATGTGCTCTATCAGGAATGCGGCAAGACACGCAAGCGCTTTGCTGGACGAAGATTCTTTTGCATGCTGGCGAACATCTTCTGTCTCCAAGACCGCCTCTTGGGTGCTGGAGAACGTGAGGGATGCAAGCGGGCGCCTCAGACATGGCCTTGCGCGCTCTGACACCAGCCTGGATTGCGCTTGGCTCGCGTGTTCTTGCAAGCGGTGCCAGCTCGGAGAACGGAAGCCGGTGCAAGCGGTGCCAGGCTGGCACGCGGCAGTGCCGCTGTGAGGCTGCAGAATCTGAAGCGTTACACTGTGGCAATGGTTGATTTGAGTTCTTCCCCCCGCTGCAGAAGAGAGCCCAGCCACTTGGCAGCAGCGAACACCGGGCTTGCTCGTGTTTTCTATGGATGTGTGTTCTGGTGACGCGCGCTTCGAACACCGCAAGGCTGGCACGCATCGTATGAAAGGATTTAGTCTATGAGAGGGGGCCGTCTGGGAATCACCCAGTGGCACAAGGCCATCATCCAAAGTCCGGACTTTCTGGCGAGGTGTCCAACACGCTGCTTGTAGTTGGCGGGGCCCACTTGGAGACCTTGCCCTCCAGTAGCTCGAAGCGCAAGGTTCTGAAAAGCCCAACCTCCCTCTGAGGAAGCCACAAGGGGAATATTGTTGGGTTGCTCTGCGGTTTGGCCGTTAGCCTTTGCAGTGTGTTTGGAAAATGTTATTTTCCAACCAAACACAAAGTTGAACCCACCAGCATAGGGCGGCGTGCAAATTGGCAACGCCTGCTGGGAGCTGTTCTGCTTGGAACATGGCATCCAGCCTGATGGTCAGATGCCCTCGGACAAGACGATTGGTGGGGGCGATGACGCAGCGCGCCTGATATGCTCAGTGTTTGTGTTGGAGGTCGCCTTGAAGCGACTGGCTGTTGAGGGCTTTGATGTCTCAGAAACTTCATCAAAATCCCACCAGAGGAAATGCGATTGGCAGCGAGTGTTACAGCCTCACTGTCACCGCAGTGAACAAACGCTAGGACGAGAGCGCAATTCACGAGGCACCCGGAAGCCAAGTTCAAGCCCAACTTGATGCCACATGTGCACAGCGTTGGTATTTTCTTCGTATAATTCAAGAGGCAAACTCAGGCTCAATGTGAAAACGCAATGGAATGCTTGAGATTTGCCGGCCGCAGGCCTCCCTAAAACCAGCATATCCACGTTAAGGCCGCGAGACAGTAAGGGTACCAAGGGCAGACCATCTCGTAACTGGAACAGTTGTGTGCCTGAATAGAGAACCCCAGCTGTTTTCTGCTTGGGGAACAATAACTGCAGTCGGACGAAGCACATCACATGCTCAACCACGTGCAAAGAACCACTGAGCGTTTGTTTTGTGATTTTATGCTTGCGCACATTCTAAGGCATTCAACACTTTCTTCAGTGAGACTGGAGCCGGCAAGCACGTGCCTCGTTGTGTGATGGTCGACTTAGAGCCGACTGTCGTTGATGAAGTCCGCACGGGCACCTACCGTCAGCTCTTCCACCCGGAGCAGCTCATCTCTGGCAAGGAAGACGCAGCGAACAATTTCGTCGCAATGCCAAACTTAACGTTTATTTACGTTTCAGTATTTGATCGCATCACCAAAAGCCAAACAAATGCAATTGTTTAGCAATGGTGTTTGATCAAATTTAGGCACGCGGGCACTACACCATCGGCAAGGAGATTGTGGATTTGGTCTTGGACAGCACCCCATTGTAGATGGCGAAATGTGTTTTTGACCAAGACCATTTGGCAGGTCAGTCGGACTCTGCCATTTACTGCTCAACATTCAGGTTGTCAACCTTCGTGACTCTCAATTCTTTGCACCAAAAACCTAGTGTTTCATTTGGCCACTCAGGAATCCGCAAATTGGCTGATAACTGCACCGGCTTGCAGGGTTTCTGCGTGTACAATGCGGTTGGTGGCGGCACGGGATCCGGCTTGGGCTGCCTGATGTTGGAGCGCTTGTCCGTGGACTATGGTAAAAAGAGCAAGATCTCCTTCACAGTTTGGTCGTGTCCACAGGTGGCAACAGCAGTGGTAGAGCCATACAACACTGTCCTTTGCGTGCACTCTTTGCTCGAGCACACAGATGTGACCATCATGTACGTTCTTGGGCAGAAATTAGTTAGAGGACATGGTTCAAACCGAGTTAGTCAAATTGAGTTTGACGCGGGCCCCTCTTCTTTCACCACCGCGGTTTCTGCTTGGCATTGTATGTTTGCAATTGGCCTTGCTATCGGGCAGGCACGAATTTCAATTGACAGCATGACGGAAAAAACATCCATGAGCAAGGCATTTTCGTTTACGTGCTTGTGTTTGCAATGCCCGCTCGGATGTTGCAATGCCACAACGGTGTGTTTGGCGCGTGTGCGGTCAACAAGGACAACGAGGCGCTGTACGACATTTGCCGCAGGAACTTGGACATTGAGCGCCCGACTTACACGAACCTCAACAGGTTGATCGCTCAGATCATCAGCTCCTTGACGGCAAGCCTGCGGTTCGATGGGGCTTTGAACGTGGACATCACTGAATTCCAGACAAATCTTGTCCCGTACCCACGCATCCACTTCATGCTCACCTCCTTTGCGCCCGTGATCTCCGCAGAGAAGGCATACCATGAGCAGCTCTCTGTGGCGGAGATTACCATGTCCGTGTTTGAGCCTGCCTCGATGATGGTCACTCAGTTGTTCAATGCCAACGTTTTGTTATTTAGTTAAGATGGATCACAGCCTGCACCATTTCGCCTTGTTTGGTTCCCCAGCATTTTCGGACACAAGAGGTCAAGTGCGATCCTCGCCATGGCAAGTACATGGCTTGCTGCATGATGTGTCTCGGCCAGTCATCAGGCGAATTGGGTTGGGGATAGTGCAATGCAATGTGTAATGGTAGTGTTCCTTGTCGATGGCATGTTGTTAGCATTCGATGTCGCATGCACTCGTAGGAATACTTAAACATGTCAATATAGGTGTCCATGTAAAATGCGTGCGTGTGTGTCCGCTTGATGATGAATCTGCCTGTTTGCAGCTCAACATGGTCAGTGGATGTTATTTGCTTGATGTCGCGTTGCGTGATGTGGAGACCTTTGACGATGCATCAGGTACCGCGGGGATGTGGTACCAAAGGACGTGAACGCGGCGGTTGCCACCATCAAGACCAAGCGCACCATCCAGTTTGTGGACTGGTGCCCCACCGGCTTCAAGTGCGGCATCAACTACCAACCTCCTACAGTGGTGCCTGGTGGTGATTTGGCCAAGGTCATGCGTGCGTGCTGTATGATTTCCAACAGCACGGCCATCGCGGAAGTCTTCTCCCGCATTGACCACAAGTTCGACCTGATGTACAGCAAGATCCTTGCCGCAAAATGATTCGGGGGAGAAGCCCGCGCCCATTTCCCTTCGCACGGCCCGTGCTCTTCAGTAGAACCCGGCTACGCCCCAGTGGCTTCGAAGAAGCTCCCCTGTCACCCCGCTAAACTTTAGTAGAATGCTGGTCAACCCACCAGCAAAAGTGTCTATATATATATATATATGGTCAGCCCCCCCTATGAACTACCTTGCCTTCTTTCTTCATCAAATGACTGCAAAGACACTGTGTTTTCATGCATATATATATATATATAATATATATATATATACATGTACCATACGGTTACAACACACATTTAACACTACACACATCAGTTAGTATCTTGGAATGCTCATTGCTACTATTGCGATAAACATTTAGCATTGCCCGCAGCACTTAGTACGTTATAGTGGGCAGCGCATTTAAACTTGCACGTCAGTTGCTACTCTATCATGATCATGAAGGGCACAAGGAGTGACTGCGGAGTAAGGGAGCTCTTGCTACACTTCTTTCCCTGGTTGATCAGCTCTGCAGGTGTTTGTTGTCAAGTAGTCTATGACTTCAAGGTGGTGGCGCGTTTCTTGTGAAACCCTGAGTCTTGGGTACAGCGGCAGGGGCAAGCTCAGTGAATGCACCATGCAACCGCTCAACGGATGTTGCTAACTACCACTTAAAGCAGAGAATGCACTCGTGCTATTTGGCTGCCGCAATGTTTTGCACTGGGCGTTGCTACGCAGCCTGCATACTGCACTTTGGGGTCCTGCCAGATATCCACCAAATGTTTGCCTTTCCAGTCTGACGCTGCATGCTTGCAATGGGTTGGTTCCAACACCTAGCTTCTTTGTTATCTTCTGTGGAGGCTGGCTGAATCTGCATATCGAAGGCGTGCTTTCGTCCACCACTACGTGGGGGAGGGCATGGAGGAGGGTGAGTTCTCCGAGGCACGCGAAGACTTGGCGGCTTTGGAGAAAGACTACGAGGAGGTGGGCATCGAGACAGCAGAAGGGGAGGGCGAAGAGGAAGGCGCGAGTTGGCTTGGGTGGTGAGGTTGTGGGATGGCTGGGCTATGTGATTCTGACGCTGAGCTGTGAAGAAAGAAAAGATGGTACTGGCTCGTCCTGTCCTTGTCATTTTCTACTTAGAATCTAGGTACTACTGGCTTTGAGGCTGGAAGGATCCTTATCTTTGGCGCTAGCCATTATCTTCTCTTCTACCAAGCCGAGCGAAGTGACATCTCTTCCCTGCCTCATCTCTCCATCCTAGGCTTGAGAAAAGAAAGAGCCCTCACCCATCAACCATCAGATGCGTGTGTGCATGTGAATATATATATATATAGATATTGCAATATATATATATATATATGTATATATATGTATGTATATGTGTTTGGCATGTATGCATGTGTATGTGTGCCTGTGTTGCTGTTGCAGTTGACGTCGTATGTACAAAGAACGACCTCACAGGTTTGGTGTGCGATCAAATCACCCGTAGATGCATAATGATATGAACAAAGCACAGAACTCCCTATCGTTCCCCGTCTGGCGGCTTTGAACATCACCTTTTGGAGCCATGTGTATTCTGAGTGTCCTTTTGGTGCGGTCATGTTGAAGGAGCTAATACTGTGGATGGCCAGAATCCTGCACCACCTTGAAATCAATGGGAACCCTTGTTTGTTGGTATTTACAGGGCAATCAACATTCCAGGGCTTCTTAGGTGGTGCAGGATTTCGTCCACCCACTGTAGGGAGCCCTGAAGCAGTTGTCCCTCTTCCGGCCAGCACGTCAGGCTACGGCGATGAGTTCTAGGGCGACACTGAGAGTCCTGCCTCGCTCGCCCACAGCGGCGAGGGATAGGCGGGACAAGCGTCCACTGTTGGTCAATGCTGTCACTGTCAAATGGCAATGTTGTTTTCATGAAAATTACCTTCCCAAATAGCGCCGTAAACCAACAACTACTGGTAGATGATGTCCACCAATGGGTTTTCTGATTGAAGCTGCTCCCCAAATGATTTCTCGGAAGGAAGATCTGGCAACCAGCTAACAGTGGCTCAGTGGCCTTGCTTGCCATTCCAGGGATCAATAACGGTTGAATCCTGGGAGCACTGCGATGGGGCAAAAGGGAGGCGTTTGCGTTTCGAGCGTGCAGTGGGCCTAGCGGACGCGGGTTGAAGTGAATTTTGAATGTTTTAGGCCGTTCCTCGACCCACCAAGTCAGGCAGCCCCAAATAGGTGTGCCTTCGCTTCTAGCTTAATTGAATGGCTGCTCAACAAAAGTGGCAAGCCCAACGTTTGGGTACTTGGCCAGTCTCGATCGGTGAGTCTTGCAGCTTTCCCAATGGGAGAAAACACAAGACTGAATCTGGGTTGGGTACATTGATCAAGTTCCAGAAAATGACCCAACTTGGTCCAGGAAGGCAATCTCTCACCTTTGTCCACGAGGTCCCGTCCCCACCATGCTCCCTGGGGCGCAGCCCAGCCATGGGAATTGACCCTGTCTCAAGCCAGAGGGTGGTTTTTTGCAAGATGAATCCCCGAGATTTGCACCGGTGAATGCTTGTGGCTTCTCTGAAACAACCCACACAAAGAAGGGCAGAAATCGACCGGCCTTCGTGGAGCGCCCGCGCGCCCCCGCACGCCTCCCGAAGTCAACGCTGGCTCGGCTCACGGGCTCCCGAAATGCTCCCGACTCGTCTCTCGATTTGACGCCCGAATCGACGTCCCGCGCCGGCGCCCCAGAGAAGGTAAAAAGCGCGTCTTCTGCTCAAACTTAAATTCGAGCAGCAGATTTAGAGACTTGCGGGAAACACAGAGAACTGAAAAGAAAGCTTTCAGGGCGCGCGGGTTCATTCCCTGCCTTCCAATCCAAAAATAATAGGGCGAAGCAAGGTGAAATGCACATTCGCGTCAACTCCCCCAGCCTTTGGGATCTGGGGTATGTTTTGGCCTTTCAAAGCCCGACGGCCAAACCAAGGCTGGCGATAAGACATGAATAGTGTATCTCTTCCATATATACTGGTCACTTGAATTGTTAAAAGGTGGCGAGAGAAAAGCCATTCTAGATCTACGGCTTGGTTGAGGGAGTTAGCTTTGTGCGTGCCGAATTCCCGAAGTTGTCCCGTGCGAACGTGGAGAGAGAGCGAGGCCACTTGGCGGCTGAGTTTTAGTGAACTTCTGGTTACTTGCCCGTATACAAGTGTGGGTCCGTTGTTTGATTCGGGGACCCTCCAGAATTCCTGGCGGTTCCTTCCCCCCTGAAAAACCGAAGAAAAGAGGTACCCTCAACAAAAGGAGCCCTAAAACGCTTCCCCAACAGATCCAGTTCTACCATTGGGGCGAGCGGCTGGGGGGGGGGGGGGAAGGGGGGAATGGAGACCTGGTGTCGAGCCATGAGCACGAGCAAAGGCCCGGAACCAGCGAAAGGAAACCCACGGTAATGGTTCTGCCGAAGAAACCAAAGGAAGCGTGTGGCCAAGAAGTCACCTGAAATCAGCCGTCTCGCGAACCAAGTGAACTCTGTTTTTTGTCTTGAGACGCATGGTTAAAGCAGGAACCGTGAAGCCCTCAAAAGGGGGCGAAGCCTTGCTTTCCCAAGGGGCACACGCTCCAACCACCTACATCTTTGGTTTGCCCCCGTTGGCAAGTGGGAATAATCACAGATGAGTTGTCTGACCTGCAAGTAGCTTCCTGGTAGTCCTTGGGGCAGTTGTCCCCCGTGAGGGGAGCCAAAAATAAGGAGAAAGACACACCGCCCCCGCCAAACACAACTGGAAGACCACAGCAGCGCCATGTTCTTCGTGAAGTACTTGGACCAGAAACAGGGCAAAGCTCGTGCCTCGGCCTTCTTGAACAATTTGGCTGAGCCCGGGATGTTTTGTTGCGGGCAAAGAGGTGCGAGGAGTCCAACGTTACTTTATGGCTATTTGGTAGCGGATCTTTGGACTTTAACGTTTTGGTTGCAATAGCTCGGATTTGCCCTTGGAGTCGCAAAAAATGTTTACAGAGGGGTCAACAGTCAACAGCAACCAAGATCAGGGCACACTGGGAAGCAAGACTAGCCGGCTGCTCCTTGGATTCGTTTTGCGGATGGCAACTGAAATCTGAATTGTTCAAGGTGGAAAAGATGCAGTAGTTGCTAAGGGAAGGATCCAAGGAATAACAGAACGGACTAGATCGTTACTATTAGTATTCCCCTGTAAATCTGGCTTTATCATTCAGGCCTTTGTACTATGGAAGAAGCTGCAGGGGTCCTTATGGGTGTTTGTTTTGCTTGGTTAAGGCATGCCTTTCAGTTACCATGGTTCAGTGAGTTTCCTTTTAGCCAGACAACTCCTACGCCACACAATTCTTTGGACGCAACTGGAGTTTGTATGCATTTATACTGCTTCCTTCCTTCAGAACTTGCCCCGGCAATTGTGACAGCCAGACAGCCAATACGCCGTATCACTTGCCGACCCCAGCCGGCACTTTACAGCCGAACGCGCGCGTATTCCTTTTTCGAGGGCCGCTTTGTTCTTTTTTGCGGTGGTGTTGAACGGAGTGGCTTTGTCTTTAAAGGAGTTGTGTCAGTCCCAATTGCTCGGCTTCGTGTTGGTTTCCCAAACCAACCCCGCAAAGGGTTTAGACACCGCAAAGAGCGCCCAAAGTTTCACCTGGATCCATGGAGTTTACAGAAGGGAGTACAATAGTCTACTAGTTTACCTGTGCCCAACTACCTAGTTTTATGACTGAGCACATGCTTGCTACATTTGGTGCGACCAAATATGCGGCTACGTTCGCTCACCATGTTGTTGTTACATAGATGCAAATCAGTAGGTGTAATCATCGTTGTGGAAATTTCGGTACAGCGCCACTGCTTTCAGTGATGCCAAAGGAAACCACTTTTCGAAGTGACTACGAGTCATGTGGATGGCCCACTTTGCTATCACAAGGGTGTTTGCCCACACTCACCCACCACCACATGGGTAGGTGTCAAAATCGGGGGCCTCGCAGATGGATCGCGAAATGTCCCGATGCCCCGCGAAAATGGAAGCCAAACTGGCCTGTGGAGAAACCGCCACCCCAAACCCTGCAAAAACCTGCCAATTTGCGTGGGAAATTCGGTTCCACACCAAAAAAAACTTAAGGGTGAGGCAGCTTGATGCGCCTGCTGAAAGGGGTTTGGGGTCATCTAAGCAGGAATGAGTCTTGGCCGCCAAGAGGAAAGGGCTTGAACTGGTTTTTTGGGAATATTAACTATGAAACCGCCTCTTCTGTACGAGCAAAATGCGTTGTTCTGGAGCCCAAATTCTGTTCGCATTTTGGCTAGATTGGGCTTGCAATTGCGAGTTTTCACAAAGAAAGCAGTGACCTGCAACAAATTCTGCATGGGCACATTTTTGGGGGTTTTGGCCACACACCGTCACACACTCTAGAATACAGAGCAGAACGTTTTTTTCTTAGTAGGCATTTCTCAGTGGCCGTGAGCCAACTCCGAACAAGCTCCGAACAAACTCCGAACGAACTCCGAACAAACTCCGAGCAAACTCCGGACAATCTCCGAACGAACTCCGGGCGAACTCGGAACAAACTCCGAACAAGCGAACAAGCTCCGAGCGAACTTTGGCATTTGTTGATTTCCGAACAAACCCCCGAGCCAACTCCGAACACACTTTGGTCAAACTGCTTTTTTTCGAGCTTACCAAAAGAGGTAAAGTGATTACAGGGGCCAGTTTCAACAAGTGGCCTGGGAAGGCGTTTTTGGAGGCAAACAAACATGTTCTCAGGCCACGTGTTGAAATTAGTTCTTTTGGTCACTTGATTTTCCTGTTATGCATTTTCCGGGCTGGATTTACTTCCCGGACAAGCGCCAAACAATTTTTGGCCATATTTTTCTTTGGGGGGCTGATTTTTGTGTTTTGGCCTTAAGTTTTAGTTTTTCGGCTTTGTTTTGTCTTTTTGCTCGTGTTTTTTTCCAGGCTGTGATTTGTGCTTGATATTTTTTTCGGGGCTTAATTCTTGCCCCGAACGAACTCCGAACGAACTCCGAACGAACTTTGGCCTTAAGTTTGTTTTTGGAGCTTATTTGTTTTTTGGTGTTGAACTTTTCGGGATTTGGTCTGGGGAGCTGTTTTATTTTGTTTTTGCCTTAAGTTTTTGTTTTTCAGCTTTGTTTTGTTTTTGTTTGCTTGTTTTTGCTTTCAGGCTATGATTTGTGCTTAGTTTTTTTTTGGGGGGGGCGGGGGGCATAATTCTTGCCCCGAACGAACTCCGAACGAACTCCGAACGAACTTTGGCCTTAAGTTTTTTTTTGGCCTTAAGTTTTTTTTTGGTGTTGAACTTTTCGGGTTTTGGTCGTACAAAAACACTGGAATTACAGCTTGTTCACGCGTTTTGTCTACAAATTCAGTGTTACCAAGGTAAAAAAAACCTTGAAAAATGCTTAATCCAGGTTGTTCAGGCAAAAAAACAGCTATTTCATACGACCAAAATCGGGCAAAACCTTAAGTTCAACACCGGTGTTGAACTTAAGCTTTTTGTTTTTGGAATAAGGTTTTTTTTCCGGATTAAGCCTTGGTCAAGCAGATTAAACTTTGTTTCAGCTTCAACAGCGAGCCTCAGCGCCAACAAGCTTTTTTTTTGGAATAAGTTTTTTTTTTCGGATTAAGCCTTGGTCAAGCAGATTAAACTTTGTTTCAGCTTCAACAGCGAGCCTCAGCGCCAACCAAGCTGCGAGATCACCCCGGTAGCGATTTTAGCCCTCCGCAGCTCTCAAGTCCTACAAATCCAGCCCTGAACGCCTTCCCAGGCCACTTGTTGAAACTGGCCCCTGTAATCACTTGGCAACTTTTGGTAAT